CTGGCCTTTCTTATCCGTAAGCAGATAAGGGGGCAGCCTCCATGAGGCCAGAGACGCTGCTCTGAGCCTCCCTCTTCCCTGTGTGGACGGTTTGAAGGCGAGTTTTTCATCTTCCCCATAGACAAGGACAGTAAGGCGAGAAGAATGGCTCTGATCATTACTGTGGAGTACAAGGAAGATACTTACGTTATATCCTCAGGGTACCAAGAGTTAGGTAGGGGTGTGAGGATGTGCTCGTTTTGCTCTTGTGCCCTTTATGCCCTCTCCACTTCTCACATCACAGTTTCTGCCATACCAAGTCAGGTGGCCAGCCTCCCTGGCTGTCGGGGGAGGAGTGGCCAGACCTGCCACAGCCTCTGCCTGACCTTAGCGCCCATCCAGTGGTCTCCTTCCTGGACCTTCACCCTGCCCTCCGTAGCACCCCACAAACAAGCTCTGGCTCCCACTTTGTGGTAAAAGCTGGGGAGGGGGTGCACGTCTGTCATCCCAGCTACATAGGAAACATAGACAGGATTATATCCAGGCAGCCTGGGGAGAAATTCAAGACCCTATTTGAAAATAGCTCAATGGTAGAGCGCCTGCCAAGCAAGCGTGAGGCCCTGAGTTCAAATACCAGTATCTAAACAAACAAACAAAAAACCCACCAGAATTATATAGAGGTCAGACCTGCAGACAGGAAGCTGGAAACCCAGGTCCTCCCCCTTTGGCCAGGCTGGCCCTTGGCCTTGGCAGCCCTCAGCCTCTTTGAGCCTTGACATCTTAGGTCTCGGTCACAACTTGCTTCCCATCCAGCTGCACAGAGACCTGGGCTCACCCCGAACCCGTTCTCCTTCTCTTCCCCCATCCACACACCTCCGAGCCATCTGTGTCTGTCATTCCTGGCTTGGCTTCTGTAGCCTCCCTGGTCCCTTCACTTCCACCCTCCCTGTCTGCTGGCACAATTTTGTGGCAACCCCCATATATGTATTTATGTATATGTTTATCTTACAGCTTCCACATATGATGAAAAGCATTTGACCTTTGTCCTTCTGAGCCTGGCTTACTTTGTTTATCATGATCTCCACTTCCATTTACCTGCAAACATCATTTCATTCTTTATGGCTGAATGATATTCCATTGTGTACGTATACCACATTTTCTTAATCCATTCATCAGTTGTGGGGCACCTGTGCTGTTTCCATAGCTTGGCTACCATGACTAGTGCTGCAATAAACATGGGTGTGCAGGTGCCTCTATTGTATCCTGACTTTCATTCCTTAGGGTATACATCGAGGAGAGGTATCACGGGATCCTATGATAGTTCTGTTTTTAATTTCTTGAGAAACCTCCATACTGCTTTCCGTAGCGGATGCGTTATATAATTCCTGATGTTTGCTTCTTATCTTTATCTGCAGAACATGCCTGTCCGCTGTCTCCTTCCCGACATCCTGCCGGAGAGTCAGGCATTGCTTCACTCCACCTGCTGAGGTGCAGCAAGCTGCAGACTGGCCACTTGGTGGTGGTGCTGTTGTGAGCATTGGCTCCAAGCAGGGGTCTGGTGACCTCCAGGCAGGCCCTGGCTGCTTTGCTCAGAGAGAGGCCCAGTGGGTAGCAGCAGTGGTATCCGCAGGATGGGCAGGAAGTGCAGGATTGCGGCTCCCCAGTCCCTCAGCACTGGGGGGCCGTGCTCACTGACAGTTGGTGGGCTTTGCTCTCGTGGTGGGTGCTCCCACTAGCATGGCTCATATGGGTCTTTCTGTGACTCCTGAGAAATAAATACTCCCAGCAGCACCCCTCTTTCCAAGTGAAGAGCTGAAGTCCAGAGAGACTAGCTGGGTCCCCATTGCACTGCACCTCACTACAAGGCCATCAGGGGAGGATGGAAGTGCCAGGGTGTCCCACGTCTGTGCACCAGGCATTTGCACCAGGTGCACTTGTGCCTGGGAAACTTGTGTGAACCAGAGAGGTCACTCACCCTCTCCACCTGCTGGAGAGCTGTGGCCATCAGTTTTGTTCACCCTGAGGCCATGGAAACAGTGGCCATCCAGACTCCTGGTGCATAGCCTAAGGACATCTGCCCTCTGGGAGGCAGCGGTCCATTTCTGGCAGACTTCCTTGCAAGGGAAGGAAGACCTGGGCCAGAAGGCACAGACCCCAGAAAGAGCCAAAGGCTGAACTCTCACCTGCTTGCCCCTGTGGCTGCTGTCCTTATGCAGTGAACAATCTGCCCAACTGTACACAGAAGCCACGCAGGTCATCAGGGAGCTGCAGAAATTGTTCTTTGGTCCAGGAGTACCAAATCCCCAGCTCCAGGTCTGCGTGCAAACAGGAATGCATGGCCCCACTTGATTACACTGTAGAGAGGGTGCCCAGCTGCTGGAGGCTGTCCCAAAGCCTCCCTCCTTCTTGCTGTAAAACCCTCTGCTGTGGTTCTTCAACCCTGAAAAGCCTCACAGAGGGGATTGCTCTCAGGCTGCTCCCAGGAACTGCTCCAGAAATCTGGGTTTAGTTTTGATTTCTAGAAACCCTAAGATTGAGGCTTTTTCTGGGGCTGGCTACAAACAAGTTGAACTTACCCGTGTCCCCTACGGAGTGCAGGGCAGACAGCATGCTGTCTGGCTGACTCGACGACCTACAGTGCCAAGCACCTGGGCTGCATCTGTGGATGAGCACAGACACCTCCAGGCTGGGATGCCCCCAGGGGCTGGTGTGTGGGACAGAGGCAAAGGTGGGGCCAGCGGGCCAAGGAGCAGAGGCTCTGGCCAGACAGCCTGCATTTGCCTCCTGGCAGAATGGCCATGATGGTTGACCAAGTCGCCCCCCGCACCCTCCCCTCACCCCTGTAGTCCTCTCCTGGGCTCAGGGCTTGCTGACCATGGCCTCACCATGTGACCCCTGGCTGCGGACAAGGAGGCCCTGAGCTTCAGAGACAAGGTGCCCAGGGGTGCAGCTGGCCAGTGGATAAGCCAGACCCACACGCAAAGCTGTGCCCACCACCACTGGATTGTGCTGCCCACACTCAACGGTGTGTGTGCACTCGCCTGATGTTCCCCACGGGAGGCTGGGTCAGAGTCCTTCTACTGGACATCCATGAATCTGCCTGGCTCCCACCCATCCCCTTTCCTCCATGTGAAGCTAGCACCTCAATTTCTCTTGGGGAGATTCTGGTTCTAACTCCTGGCTATGACTCCAGAGGGCGCCAGGCCCTCCCACCAGGGGTTCCCAGCCTGGGCTGTACAGGAGAGTCACCGTAACAAACACCAATGCCCAGAGCAAGTCCCAGCCTCGGGCTGGAGACAGGCATTGGCATCTTGAGAGTCCCTGGGGGAGGGGTTCAGTGTGCAGCAGTTCTGGTTCCCCAAAACTTTGAGCCCAAGACAGCATGCCCCGAGGTTGGTATCCCACCACTGTTTTACCCCAGACTCGAGGTTTTCCGCAGCCACCTGGCCATCAGATCCCATCTGCACAGACTGTGCACCTGGGAGAGTAGCAGCTGGAGGTACAGTGACAGAATAGACTTACAATCCTATCAGGTCACAGATCCCATTGCCGGTAGACACCAAAGCCCCAGATCCCCCCTTCTCATTTTCAATCACCTTTGGGTGAGCACACAGCAGGGAGGACAGGACCCCATCACCCCAAAGGCTGGCAGCCCCAGTCCTGGAGCTTCTACAATCAGTTGCTCCAAGAACCTGTGGGGACTCCTCAATGCAGTTCCTCGTCCCTGCAGTCTCAGCCTGAAGCTCTCTGCTCCCCAGAACACAGGGTTATCGACAGTCACTGACCCTGTGGTCTCCATCCTCCCTTCCTGGTTGTGCAGGTGGAAGACCCAGTGGGAAACAGACAGCTGTGATCACTGCCAGGTCAGCAGACAGATAGTTATGGAGCACAGAGGAGGCTACCTATGAGGCCAGGCCTGGGAACCAGCTGCTCCCTCCAGTCACCTGCAGGGTCTCTGGGAGCAATTCCAGAAGATACTGATTCCTCTGGAGACCTAAAGCAGGCAAGGAAGATGGGTGGAAGGGATGAAGGTCATGTGTGTTCTCCTGGCTGCCCCTCCCCATCCCTTTTCGTTACCAGGACAATAGCTGCGGCCTGGTTTGCCTCTGACCCACCTTCCTGTGCTTGACTTCGAGGACAAGCTGCCTGGAGGTTAGAAGTTGTTTGTGATGACCAGCTGAAAGCTGCCAGGTCCAAAGTGGGTCAGGCTCAAAGTGGTTGCCCAAAGGACCTCTGATAGACCCCATTTTAATCCCAGCTGCTAAGTGACACAAGCCCAGAGCCAGAAGCATTGACAACTGTCATGACAATGGCCAGAAACAAAAAAGGCAAAAACATGTGTGCCTGAAGTCCCTGGGAAATCCCTGGGCAAGTGGGTCAGCCTCCCCTCCCTCCCACATCTCTTTTGCCTTGCATTTCACTTCCTGGCCCCTCATGGTGGGGACACTTCTCCACTGTCCACTGAGTAACTTGTGCTGTTGCCCTCAGCTTCCATTTTGCTTTTCAGCTTCACAAAACCCAGAATGGAAAAAGAAGTCTTTGGGGGAGGTCTCTCCATTACGGGACGAGTGCTGGTAACAGTCCCCCTCACTAGGGCCACAGGGTTTCAGCATGGGGACTTCTTTATACCCTTAGGTATTTATCACAGGCCAGTGATACCCAGCTGGGCCCCACCTCTTGCCCCCAGAACCACTTTACCCCACTTGCAAGAGCAGCAGAGAACAGGGAGCTGAGCACCCCTCTCGTGGACTCATTCCCTCACTGTCATCACAGGTGAGCAGCTCTGGGACAACCATTCTTTGGAGAGGAAATGGAATAGAAGCTAAATAATGTGTCCTGGCCACATAGCAAGAAAGGGACAGAGCAGGGCTGGAGTCTACAGAGCTTGAGCTATGGCCTCAGCCACTGCTCAACCCGTCCTGGACACTGCACAGGGCTCCAGTTTCCAGGGAGGCTAGCCTGGGGGAGTGCCTGTCCCCTGGCCTGCGTGGCTGCTCTGTGCCTGTGCTCCCCACAGAACCAGCCACCTCCAGGGATGCCCTGAGGCCGGGCCCTTGCAAAAGCCAACACCAAGAGACAAAACAGAGCTCACATTCCCAACACTTTATTGTTTACAAGACAGCAATGGAAGGAAACATCACAATCATTAAGCTGACAACAGGAGTGGGGAAAGCACAGCTGTTCTAAAACCCGAAAGCCACTGATGGTGGGAGGGTGTGACACTACCACATCAGAACAGTCTCCATCATGATGTCCCAAGTCCTGACTGTGCTAATTTCATCTCTCTGTGTTTTAAACAGCACAAGCTAACTCCAAGACATTTACCAAGGAGGTGGGCAAAGGCAGGAGAAATGTCACATTTGGGAGCTGTCTTCACACCTGTGCTTGTCTGACAGGGAGAGGACCACACTCCCCAGCAGAGGAGGACACCTTTCCGGGTCCCTGCCTGGTGGCAGAGGTCTATGAGGGCCCACAGAGCCAGGCCCTGCCTTCAGAGCTGCCTCTGTCCTACCCTGAGGGGTGTTGCCAGGTGGTTGCTGTGGGGAGGAGGACTGTGCCAGATAGATGAGAGAGTCCCTTCTGGACTTCAGTCATGCCTAACCTCTGTCCCAGTCCCCTGCTTCTGCCTGGGCACCTTGAGAAGAGACGACAGGGAGCTTCCTTAGAAAAGAGGTTGAACCTCCACTGGGAAGAGGTGAGGAAAGGCCGTGGAGAGGAACCCAGGAAAATGACAGGGACAAGCTCCAGCACTAAGCAGACCCGGACAAAGTGTCAAGTGCAGGCCTGTCAGGACCCAGGGCCCTCGGGTCAGGGCATGAAACATTCAAGTCACCAGTGAGAGTCCAGAAGAGCACGACACTTTCTGAAAGCTGCTAGGAAAAGGTACAGGCCAAGGACGAGGGTCCTTTACTGTAACTCTGAAGCTCGCTGTGCCATTCGTTCTACCTGACTACAACATCCTCGGCACAGGGCAGGAAGGTTTAACTGTGACTGCTGAGAACATTTGGTTGTTCTGTTCAGTAAGAAATGAAATTGCCTTAAAAAAACGGTAATTAAAACTTGCAAGTGCTACACAGCACTGGAACCCTCCCGAAGGAAGCGGAGTTCTCAGCCACGGGAAGCAGGGAGGGTTTCAGGAACAAACGCACTGGTGCTGCCTCGGCCCTCGCTGCGACCGGCCCTGCAGTGTAAACATTAACTTTCCAAGGGTCTGCAGGGCCGTGTGGAATGCCAGGCTCACCAAGGAGGAAGAGGGCGGGGGCCTGGAGTTCCTAACGGGCAGGCCCACCTCACACGGGTCTTTGCTCCCAGGCTGGAGCACGGTGCTGGGACTCTGCACCATGGGTGCTCCAGAAAGAGTTACATGACGGAGACGGAGAGCACATGGGAAGGCAAGGAAGAGAGACAAGATGGAAAGAAGAAAGGGCCCACGTCAGGATGCCTGCAGTGACCCACCTCCTCCACCAGGTCGCAGTGTGGAGAGAGGCCGGCCCATGGCCACGGCTCAGGGCTGAGGGGCTGATGTCCACTTCTGGCTGCTTCATGTGCCCCGGGAATGAACTTCTGTAACCTCAGTTACAAAAAATAAAAAACTAAAGCAAACAAAAGTGCATTGCTCCGTGTTTTATGAAAGTGAGCCCTGACACAGCTAAAGCCGCACTTGATGTGGGGACGGACGGACGGATTTAAATGAACTCTATACCTTCGTACTTCACGCTGCCAACTCTGGTCTCTGGCAGGAGGAAGCGCCCATCAAGGGTGAAGGCCATGATGTAGGTGGCGATCTTACCACTGTCTTCTTCGGACTTGAGGGCCACAATGATCTGGTCGTCGGTATTGGGGATGAACTTGAAGGAGGAGAAGCCGTGCGTGGGGACCAGCTCCCCCACACGGCGGACAGAGATGTCCCCAAAGTCCGGGGTGGCACTCAGGAGCAGGTTGGTGCCCTTGTGCTCGTCCTCCTTCTCACTGTACCGCTCGTGGCTGGCCCGGCGGGGCAGGAAGAACCAGCGCTGCAGCGTGTCGCTCCAGCAGGCAGATTCATGGATGAGGTAGCCTGGGGGTACAGCAGAGCCACAGGTTACCACCCATCCCACAGAACTGCCACAGCCCCTGCTCATGACAGCTGTACCACGCCATGAGACTACAAACCACCGGGCCTGGCTCCATCCTCCCTGTAGCTCCCCAACCTCCTGAAGGGTTTTCAGTCTGCAGCTACTCTCCTTTATCCAGGGAAGCCTCGCATGGCATGCACAGAGGAATGGGGAGCACCACACCGCGTCTGCACTGCCCCTGCCCCTGCCAGCTGTCTCCAGAGGGGCCTGTAAGCCTTCACCAGTTCTCTTTACTTTCTTCTCCCGTGTTAATCGTGAGCATAGAAAAGGACAAGAGTACAGAGAAAGGATGAAATAAAGAAGCAAGTCTTCCTTATGGGAAGATAAGGAAGAGAGGGCAGCCTTGAGCTGAAGGAAGCAGAGCTCCTCCCAGCTTCCAGACAGAGGCACACCTTCAGGAACAAGCTCCCTGCTTGGCCACTTCTCCTTCCACCTGACTTTAGCCCTCCTGCAGACACAAGTCATGACACCCTCTGAAAGGGAAGGAAGGCTGGCAAGGCGCTGTCAGCCTCCCCTACTGCACATGGGAAGGACAAGGCCCTTGACCACCTGGGAATGGAGATGGGGGTCCCCCAAGCCAGAACCACTTCTGTGTGGATGGGTGGGGCGATAGCCTGTGGTGGCCAAAGGTGATCTGTTAGGTCAGTGAGGGACAAATGAGAAAATGGCTCATTTGCCCTAGAACCTGCTGGCCTAAAGGGAACAGCCATCAGACACAGCCGAATAATCAAGGTGGAGCAAGGTACCAGCTGCAGCACATTCACAGTGACAGACGCCAGCCGGACACCCACACAGCTCCTTACCTGGTGGCTGGATTCCGGCGGCGGCCCTCAGAGCATTGTAGCTGGACACCCAGTTCTCGTGGTCCACGCTGCCCTTGTGGCCCACGACCTTCACCCACTCCGGGTTCTCGCTCATCACCTCCCCCGTCGTGGTGGTCCACTCCTTGCCCAGGCCGCCCACATATAGGTGCTCGTCCTTCACGGCCAGCCACTCGGCTTTGAAGCCTGGGGCGATGAGAGGAGGGGCATCCCTGAGACACCATGGCCGGCCTTGGCCAGGGAACCCTGGTAGTCTGGCTGACTCAGATAAAAAGTCACAGCCTTGAGCCTTCCCCGGAGGCAAGGGTAAGAGGCAGAGGCAGGAACCTGTGCAGAGCCCCAGGGCTGGGACCTTCAGAGTAGGCACCTACCTCCTTTCCACTTCTTCCTCTTCTCCCCCTACCTCCAAGAAGCCAAGCCTCCTCTGCAACTCACAGGACCTGTTACACCAATTCCAAGTCCTCTTACACTGCTCCCTCCACCTTCCTAAAAGTCGCTGACTACTCTCCTAGGTCTCCTATGACAACTCCCACTCCAGTCCCAGATCACTCCCCACTACCACCCAAGTGTGAGTGTGAAAATGCTCTGCAGGTGGGCCACAGGTGTCTGCCATCTTGGGCTATGCCCACCACTGCACTGTGGGTTAACAGAATGCTAGTGGTGGAAGTCACTAGAAGGCGTGGGATTGGGGTGCTGTCTTCTGGATGAATTTATTTAGGAGCTCAATTTGTTCTTCCTCAACTGCCCTATTTAATGTGAACACACTTTGCTGACTGCAGCACTGTTAAGCTGGAGGGAGCCTTTGTTCTTCAGGCATATTCCTCCAGTCCCTCCCCACCAGGGGTGCCACTAGGCTTGATCTCCAAGCTGAATCTCTTGCAATCTCTTTGAGGCTATTCCTCTTGCATAGGACAGCAGCCTTGGAGGCTTCCCCCAGGTGGCTTTGGAGGGACTGCAGTTCCTGCAGTTCCAGTGACCTTGAGTTGTCTGAGTCACTTCCATGATATGAAATCCCATTTTCTGAGACTTTGGGCCCTCTGGATAAGCAGCCACAAGCCAGCCCCAAAGACCCCATTATCCACTTTCTCCCCCCTTACAGACCCACACAACAGTAACCTAAACCCTGAGGGAGGTGAGGCAGGAAATAGAGGACCGACATGGTCTCTGCCAACTCCCCAGCCTCAGGCAAACACTGGGGATTTTACAACCAGGAGAGGGCCTGGCAGACTGCGCCATTTGTAAAGTGGGGCCCAGTGACTTAGTGCAATTTCTCCTTCAACCTGGGAGATCCTGCAGTGCTGAGCTTTGTAGAAGGGCAGATCACAGAGAGCTCACACATACGGATTTTCAGTTCTTCTGTCAATGTTCTTAGGCCTCCTTCCTCTTTCCTGCCTCTGACACTGTGGCTCCACTCTGGTGGCTCTGTCCCCTGCCTTGTGGAAGCAGTAACTCCTTTCTGGAAAGCACTGGAGCAAAAGTCAGGCTCCACTCCCTCAGTAGCAACTGCTCCCAACTCACACAGCTCACCTGCAGTTCCATAAACCAAGGTTAGGGTCTCGGTTCAAACTCACACAGGCCACCCCAGCTTTCCAGGTGAGGGGTCACAGATCCAAAGACACCTCTGAATACACAAGGACATGGTCCTGGAGGGAGTCAGAGCGACAGGGACGCAGCTCTAAAGTTCATCCTGGAAGGGTTTCCCCACTCTCTGACAGGCCTCTAGTGACCACATGGAACCGAGAAGTGATTTTCCTCAGGGTTAGGGGTGTGGCTCAGAGCAAAAGGGATGTCCCCACCTTCTGGGCACGCAGAATTTTACCAGGTTACTTTCCAACTGCAGACCAAACCACAAACAGCCAGCCCCAGAGCACCCAGCACCTGAAGAAAGCTCAGCCACAGACTGCGGCTCCACTTACCCTTCTCCTCGGTTCCGTCACCATCAGACAGGATCACCCAGGGCACAGCCTTGGTGCCTTGGATCTGGTAGATGACCCCCGTCCGGTCATCCACGGAATACAACTTCCCATTAAACACGATCAGGTCAGAGAGCTCCATGCCCCTCCCCTTTTCTGCCAGGTGGGACTCCAGGATCCCGTGGTCACTGTCCCACTCCACAGATACCTTGTCCCCACTGTCCGACAGGGTCAGATAGCCCTTCTTCAGGTAACTGAACCAGGTATTTTCCTTCTGGGCCCTGGACTCTGTGTCCAGGTCAGCAATGACTGCGATTCGATACCGAATCCCGCCTGGCGTCCTCTGGGGGGCCGACAGGGGATAGGTGTCATTGTAGCGGGCAGCAGGTGCCTGGCCGAGCCTCCAGTTGTGTGCATTGTGGGTGGAAGACCTGCCTGGGGCTGGGCGGTGAGAGTAGAGCAGCCAGAGGAGGGCAGCGCCCACAAAGGACGTTAGGATCACCCTCCAGCGGGGGCGGAAGCGGGGATCTGCAGCCTTGGTCATGGATGCCAGCACAGGAAGTCCTCCCACACTTATCCGGAGGGAGTTCATAGGCTCATTCCATTCCAGGTGGTCAGAGGGCCGGACGGGCATCAGACCGCACGTTGGGTGTGACCTGCAGCCCAGGGAGAGAGGAAAGTGGTCATTGGGCTGTGAAGCATGTCAAGCTCCTCAACTACATGGGCTGAAGTCAGTCTTCTCCAGAGGGAACACAACTCCACCAGGTCCAAGGCTGGGTGAAACCTTGTCTCCAGCAAAGTGCATGTGAAGTCCTTCTGAAGAAAACCACACCCTCCCTGGCCTAGCTGGCAAGACAGAAGCTGAGCAACAGGAGGAGGTCTGTGCGGGGTTGGGCTGTGCAGGCTAAGGGAGACGCCAGGCAGGTGTGGGGAGACAACAGAGAAGGTACAGATCTGTACTACACTCAAATGTCACCTCATCCAGGCCTTCCCCAGCTGCCCTGCTCCAAGGTCACGGGCCCCACATTGCACAATAGCAGTTTGCTCATTCCTGCCTTGGCCTTGCACAGAGAGGATGAAGGCTCCTTAGGTAAGATCTCATTTCTGGGTTAGGTCCCTGTAATATTTAAATATATAGTGGATCTTTCCTCAGGTTTTTGCTGTTGTTGTTGGCAGCACCTGTCCCTTGGCACTTCCTATTAATGCAAGGCACTGCAGGGCCAGAGTCACAGCCACTCTTGCTGCCTGGAGTCCAGCACACCTGAGTATCTGCTCCAAAGGCCTCTGGGCTCACTTTGGGGTTGGGCTTGGTTCCTGGGCCCCCCTGGGCCATACTTCATGGCTCCATGGTCAGCTCCCTACTCACAGGCACAGAGCATGACAGCTCAATGCAGCCATAAAGGTGCCAGGCCAGCATCGACCCTGGCATGGTGGAGAGCTGTCTGTCTCCAGGGCAGCTGCCCAGTGCTATACTGGGGCATCAGGAGGCTGCTCCCAGCTCTGGCTGCTGCCCTGGCCCCTCCTACAAGGGGCCCTCCACCTACAACCAGCATGACAACTTCCCTCTGGGCTTCTGGAGCACGCCCACTACCTCCTCCTGGAGAAAACCAACAGCAAACGTGGGACTGCATGGGCTGCTCTCATTGCCAGGCAGCACCTGGGAAAGGCTCTGTGTGATCCACTCCTGCTGGAGACCCCTACTCTGGCTGAGCCCAGGCTCTGTCTTGTCCTGTTTCTTTTCCAAGCCCAGGGCTTCAAAGGCCTTGGCAAGGCCCAAGACTTACAGTCCTGGATGTAGCCACCAACCTCTGCTGCCCTCTCCCTCACCTCCTACATGAAATGTCGCTGGTGTTTCCAGCACACACCTTACTATTTCTAAGCAAAAGTCCTAGTCGCCCTCCCTTCAAGCCCATCTTCCCTTAGGAACGGCAGTGGTGATGGAGGCTGCCACATATACTGCTGCTCACATTAAAACTCCCACAGAAGCCCAACGAGGTGCTTTTCTGTGTGAATGTTACAGTTCAACAAGAAGTTATAAGCCACCACAGAGAGCCCAAGACCGCTTTAATGGATACCCACCTTTCCTTCCTCAACAGCACCCCCACAGGCATATTTAGAAACCACATCTCTCCACTTCCAAACAATCTCTCACACAAATCATGCCAGCAGCCTCCCCATCCCTTGTTGGGTGGCCGCTCTCCTCCAGACAACTCTGACCCTCTTCCATGGTTCCGAAGCTGCTCTGCTCCCTCCACACCATCTCTGCCTATCAATATGGCCTCCTCCTGTCGCCTGGCCACAGGGGCCCTCGTTCCCAGGCAGGGCTCACTGTTCCCTTGCCCAGGACACTCTGACCTTAGTCTTTGCATGGCTGGTTCACGGTTTTCTCAGAGTTCCTCAGAAAGTCAGCTGTGCCTATTGATCAAGGGCCTTGGGCAGTTTCCACTCTCTGCCTGGAGCCCACATAGACCTGCAGCTAGTACAAACAGCACACATTTGCCAAGGAATGGAAAATAAGCTCCTTTAGCTCCTTAGCACCCTGGCCCCCACATTCATCTGCAAATTACACATCCCCCGATCAAGGCTGGGAAGATCGAGACGCTCGGCTAGCTGCCTGGTCTAGGAAGACAGCACCTGACTGGTGGATGGGTGTCACAACTGTAATGTGTCACCCTGCTGGCCTATGGAGCCTCCCACTCTGTGTTCCAATGAGTCAGTACACCTGCACTGCTCAGGTCAGGACTCCTGCCACCTGCTCCCCATGGCCCCTGTAGCAGCCTAGGCCATGGCAGCTTATAGCCCCATACCCTTGTCCAAGGAGGAGGGGCCTCCCTCTGCCCAGTCCCTCAGCAGGCCAGACCAGGCTCCTCTCAGCACCAACCATCCATGTCCACATCTCCACCTCACTCGCAATCTGCTTTCCAGATTGCTCTGAGGGATGCCTGTGGTTGAACCGAGAGCAGATCTGTGGACCAGTAAGGGAATGGAGAGCCTCCCAAGCCCCTGACATCTTTGTCCCTCCTCACCCCAGCTCACCATCTTGAGAACAACAACACCCACACCCTTCTCCACCCGCCTCCAGCAACTCCACACATGCTGGTGCTCTCTGCCTCTTTGGGCTCTGTCCCTCCTGGATTAGGGGCCTCTCAGCAGGCCCAGGGCTGCTCCCTTCCCTCAGCCTACAAGCTCGTATGGCCTGCCTTGCTCAGCACTGCCCAAGAACTATAGGCTCTCAGAGTTTAACCTCTAGGAGAAACCTTGCAGCCTAACTCCTCCCCTGAATGCAGGGCAGTGGGCACCAGCAGGCTCCTGGAGAGAATTCTCCTTCCTGGCCAAGGGCCTACCCGGTCCTCCAAAGCCAACATGGAGGGACTGCACCTCTCTCCTTCCACACGTTCAGACAAGCACGAGGTCTACCAGTTTCTCCCTAGCCCAGCTCTGGATTCTGTTCCCTTCTTCACACCCCATAGCCTTGGTCCTGGCCTAATGATGCAGATTTTCTGGTCCAAACCTTCACTCTGCCATTTACCAGCTATGAGACCTTGGACAAAGACCTCTCTTCTCCCAGCCTCAGTTTCCTTCCCAGAGCCATGCCAATGGCCAGGTCAGACACTGAGGAGAGAAGACTTGGCCCAGGGCCTGTCTGCTCTCCTTTGTACCTACCAACCCCTCACATGTCACAGCCTGCAAAGAAGGCCTCACTTAGCTTTCCAGCCTGACCTCCCAGTTGCTCCTGCATGATCCTGGATTATCTGTAATTCCAGATTCCGTGTCTAGCCTCTAGACCTCCATCTTGGATGCTCAGCTCCTCTGAGCACATGGAGCTGCCTAGAACTCCCTGGAAATGCACTGACAGTCATTCTTCTGCTGTTCCCACCCCTCCGCCCTGTGACTGCTCTCTCTCCCAGAAAGTCTCTGGGAGGAAGATTTCTGAGAAACCTGGGCATGTGACCTCCCACGGCAATGCAGACTTTGCAGGTATGACTAAGGACCTTGATGGCGAGTCTGTTCAGCTGGGCCCTAAGTGCAATCACAGGTGTCTTTTTATAAAGGTGAAGTAGAGGAAAAAGGCTCTGTCTTAACCCCAGAAGCTGGAGACCAAGGGTAGAGTCTGCCCCAGAGCCTTCAGAAAGAGTTCTGTGACATGCTGACTTTGGCTCAGTGGCACTGATATTCAAGAATTCAGGGACATTGAATCTCTAGACGTGCAAGAGAACAAACGTGTTGCTTTGAGTGTGGGTGATTCACTACAGCACCCTAGAAAAGGAGCACCCCTCCCAACAGTGTCCCTTGGGCCACCCCATACTGTAGCGGTGTTCTGCAGAGCTCCCGGAGGGAGGGGCTCTGCTTCAGCCAAGCAGACTCCCCAAGAGCTGAGAGACAGGCAGGAACCCTGGGACTCAGCCACCTTTGGTTAAAGGAGAGGATGACTGCTTCCAGCAACTTCCATGACCTTCACCACCATAACACCTTCCCTCAGTCTTCCTTAGAACCCTAGCAGCTGCTTTTGTGGAAAAGCAAGTTTCAAATCATCTGCCTTTTCACTTGCTTTCCACAGCCCCATGCTGGTATATCACCTAAAGTGACTGTAGTGTCTTGATGCTGGGGCCACTGCACAGCAAGAGCTGGCATTTTCATTTCTGTCTGTCTGTCTATCTATCTGTCTATGCCAACCATGAGCCACAGAAACAAGCCAGTGAGAAGAAAGACAAGATAGGCAAAGACGTCCCAGAAGAAGGGGCCCGTGTGGGCTTGTCTCCTCCCTACGCTCCTCAGAGCCATTAGACGCTTATGTGTCTGCATCCTTGAGTCACGAGGTTTATCAGCCACGTCTGCATATAACGTTTGACTTGATGATCAGGAGTAAGAGAGCCAAGTGGCTACTGTGAAAGTTACCACTCTTGGGCCACGCAAGCACACCTGGCAGCTGGACTGCAAACAAGTTCTCTCCAGGCTCAGAAGCCCAGGGGACCACACCCTCCTATGAGCCTTGCTCCAGGTACAAAGTCCCAGGAACAACTACCTTACAGCCTCCGGGTCCCGACCTCCTTCCACCCTTTTTGTTTTTGAGGTACTCGAGTTTGAACTCAGGGCCTACACCTTGAGCCACTCCACCAGCCTTTTTCTTGTGATGGGTTTTTTTATTTGCCCGGGCTGGCTTTGAACCACAATCCTCCTGATCTCTGCCTCCTGAGTAGCTAGGATTACAAGAGTGAACCACTGGGCTTCTACCCCTCTTTTTAAGGCGGGTGTTGTGAAAGGCTCACTGGCATTCAGGCATTTCTGGTTTCTTTTCTAAACAGGCCTGAAACAGCAAGGCCTAGCTGTGACAGACATTCCTGTCCAACCGCTCCAAAGGACATTTCTAGATGGAAGGGAGCAGCAGCAAGCTAGGAGGCAGGGTGCTTTCTCTGTGCATTCAGCAGGCCGCTCTGGACTGCTTCCTGTCCTGGGAGCCTGCAGTAACTCCAAGGTCAAGAACAGCATGGGCAGAAGGTGCCTACCTCCATTGGCATCCCAGGTCCACACCAGACTACGCATAGGCTGAGCAGAAGGAGCAGCAGTGAAACACACGACCACAACCAAAGCACTCTTGATTTCCGGCTCGCTCCTATTTTTCAGGAGTGGTATGTGACAGGTGGCAGATTAAACAGGTCTAAGGCAGCTGCCAGAGCAGACTCCTCCTTTCCAGGATGCAGGAAGGGCTGGGACAAGGAGAGCCCATTCTCAGCTCTCAGTGGCCACTCTCTCCCCACCCCTTGCTCCTTGAGAGGAGCCAGCTCCCCTCCCTTCCCTTCTCACCAGATAGCAAGCAGGCCTTCAGCGTCCCTTTGCTCTCTGGCAAAGCTCACTTCCTTATTGGACAGTAAAGAGTAGGGGCTGCAGACTGGCTCAGATTCTTCAGCAAAGCAGAGAAAGAGCCGGGGCTTCACAACAGTCTCTAAATAAATGCAGGATGGCAGGCCTCAAAGAAATGAACACCACTGCATGCCTACCACAGTTAAGACTCCTAGGAAAAGTTACCTGACTCCTTGTTTTATGTTTGAAAATCCCATTTGAAATCTGGGATTGTAATCCCAGCTACTCAGGAGGCAGAGGCAGGAGGATCAAGAGTTCAAAGCCAACCCCGGCAAAGTTAGTGAGAGCCTGTTTCAAAATAAAACCAAAATGGCTAGGGATGCAGCTCAACTAGCAAAGTGCTTGCCTAGTAAGTGTGAGGCCCTGGGTTCAAACCCCAGTACTGGCAAAAAAAAAAAAAAAATCGGAGCAGCACAAGCAGATGAGGAAAGGTGTGTGTTAGGAGTTAGAGGCCCCCTCTAAGCCCACATGGCATCCTTCTCAAAGGCCATTGGTGGCTCAGGACCTTTATGACTTTTGCACCCCCTCCAGGCACAACAGGCACTCACAACTGTTTCCTGAGTCAACTTAAATACAGTTCAGGGTAATTTATTTTTCAGCCTGGTTTTGTTTTTTAAATCAACTATGCATGGGCATTTAGTAACTAATTGCTGCAGACCCAACAGCTTAGACACCACAAACTACTATTTCACATCCGGAAGAGGTCTGACATGGTCTCTCAACTGGGCTACAATCCACTCCTGGTCTCCTGGGGACAATCCACTTCCTGGCCTCTTCCAGCTTCCAGAGGCTGCTCAGGATCCTTGCCTTGCAGCTCCTTCAAAACCATCAATGTGGCATCTCCTGGTACCTTTCTGCCATCCTTTCCCTCTTGCTCTCCTGAGTCCCTCTTTCACTCTTAAGGACCCTTAGATCACGTCAGGCCCATGGGGGAAAAGTGGGATAATCTCCCTGTTTTCAGGTCAGATATTCGCAATCTGAATTCCCCTTTGCAGTGCAATGTGACATATTCACAGATTGGGGGTTGGGAAGGCCATCTTGGGGGCCATCACCCTTCACGCTATGCCTTTTTTATGGGGTGGACAATCAGCTTCAGAACCCTCTAGTTGGCATGTTACATCACAATAAGGCTGTATCTGCTTAATTTGTATCACAATGTTATTTTGGGAGGAATTCTAGCAAAAGAGCTACCCTCCCAGTTGAAAGCAACATCCCAAACACTTCTCCAGAGTGCCTGAAAATACAGCATGGGACAATCCTCCACCCACCCAGATCTGGGCTCACTTCTAGAACATGCACTGCACCCTCAGCATAAATCATGGCTCTGGAGACATGCAGGCAGCAAGGCCCTATGAGCCATTCTGAAGAGTCCCAGCCTCACACTCACCTCACATCATCACAACTCCATTACACTGCCCTGTCTGGAGCCGGCACTAGCTTCCTGCTCACTTCTCCTGGCACCTGCCCCAGATGACCACAGATGAAGCAGTGCTCTGCCTAGAGACCAGAAGTTCCACTACCCACAGGACTATTACAGAGGAACAAAGAGTCAAAAGAAATGGCCACCAACAAAGGACACTGAGCATCTTCCTCAATAGGTTTTTCTATTATCAGGAGATAACCAATCATCTTGACTTAATGAAAAGAAAAATCAACATAAAGCTTATTAAAAATCAATATAAATGTTTTTAATTCCCTTAATGTTGACATTTAATACAAGATTTCCAGGAAATCTCAGCAGTCCAGAGTATGCTAAAGGGAAAAGAACAACATTGTTGCTTCCCCCCCACCCCAGCATCCTTGGACCATTCCACAAACAGAAGAAAGGACTTCCTGATTATCACACTGACCCACTTCAGGACTCTGGGCCACAGTCTGAGATCCCAATTCTTCTATCTGGAAAGCAAACACTAGAGCATTTGCACACCTACTCTGCACAGCCACTGTGAGGACTGCCATGCTGCTGCTCACAAGTACATACACTTGCCTCCAGAGTCACACCCAATGACAAGATGAAAACTTGGCCAGAGCAAGCACCACTGCATGCCCTCTCTGCTCCTGACCCCTGTGCTGGGGCAGGCAGGGCAGATCAGTTGTGCTGTTGCATAGGCTAGTGAGAACGTTCTCAAGTACCAACAGCTTAAACCAACAGAGTTGCCATGGGCTGTGAAAATACAGCCAGAGCTGTAGAGGGAAGAAAGGAGACTTCTGACTAACAGAAGGTGTCAAGGGACAATCTGGTCACACCAAGCGATACCAGTCAGTTGCAAGATGATTTCCTCTACTGTCCTGGGACATACCATCTTTTGTGATCAGGTCAATTTGGACAAGAAAGAGAACGAGAGAAGACCCAGAATTCTGTCCTCAGATCACTGCAGTGGTCTTATGACAGTGTTGGACAAACCTATGCTTCACCTGAAATTGCTCTGGGATGTCTGCGACAGGAAACCCCTGCCTCATCCAGAGAGGAGAACACTGGCTCCTCCAACATGCCTTCCGTGGGACACTCAGGCACACATAAAATATTCATCGAGGCCAGCAGGGAGGGCCCACCATGTTCACAGGCTCCAGCTGGATTGCTGTGTCAAGAGGCCTGGGGAAGGGCTGCAGCCCAGCCCAAGAGGATGGTCCTCAGTCAAGCTCCACAGCGGGACAGAGACAGGGAGGAGGGGCTGCCAACTCAGCTCCTGCAGGACTACACCACATGCTCCCTATCACAGATTCTTCTGAGACCTAGCAGTTTCTTTCAAATTTTGGCCAATCAGGTCTCAATGACACCAACAGACTCAGGTTCCCAAGCCTATGCTTTGTTCAAAATGTATTAGGAAAAGATGTCAAGAGACAGGATTGAAAAATGGAGCTGGTGTACTAAAAGTCTGTAGTTCTTGAGATCGCTAAGGGAGAAGAATGCTTGATAGAGAGATGGTTTGCTGGAAAAGGACAGAGTGATCTGGCGGGGAGGCTATTGTCAGAAGGAGAAGTAAAGGCACCAAGCAACAGGACGCATGAGGGGGTGCCAGTCCCCAGAGATGGGAGAATCCAGACCTGATGGGGGCAGGGTGGGATGGTGGATAATCTGCGTGCAAGAAAGTGAAGAGTGAGCTGCGCTGCCCAGAGGAAGTGTCAATCTTGGATGTGGCAAGGACAGCAAGGACTGGGATGGAGCAAGAAGGCGGGTGGCTACAGGTGGGGACGGGGTGGGAAGGTCTGTCCGTTACAGGTGTGACCAAGGGCCAGCCGGGGAAGGGAGGCTTTCCTCATCAGTCTGGAGAGGCCCTGCACAGGCCAGAGCCGGGGTATCTGGAGTCCGAGGGATTGAGGTGGGAAGTGGTTGTCCACAAGGGCAAGTGGACCACAGGAGTCAGATGGGTTAGCGATCACACACCAGTCTGAGGAGGAGGGCATTGCACACTAGCCAGAAGAGGGGGGTGTCCTGCAAGTCGGAGAGGGGATGATATCCCACACTACACAGAGGGACAGGAGTCCACCACCGCAGGATGCCAGCCAGGGGGCAGGGTCCCGGCTCAGGTCAGTCCCAGAGGAAGTTCCCGGGGTCAGGGGGCGGGCCATGGCTGGATGGGGGCGGCGGCAGGCCCCAGGACGCTGCGAGGGAGGGCGCCTGACTGCGGGCGCGCCGTCACTCACCCACGGCGAGCCTCGCTCCGGTGCCCGCGGGCGGCCTCGCTGCGCAGGGCCGGACAGGGCGGGCTGCCACTTCCGCCCCGCCGCGCGCTCCCGGCAGCCTCTGCTCTGCGCCTGCGCCGCACGTGGCCCCCCCTCCCCCCCCCCCCCCCGCCTCGCCGCGCGCTCCCGGCGGCCTTTGCTCTGCGCCTGCGCCCCACGCAGCCCAACCCGCCGCCTCTGTTCTGGGCCTCGCCCCGCCCCACTTCCCGGCAGTCTGTGCTCTGCGCCTGCGCGCTGGGTGGCAGGAGGTGTTGGGTTTGTTCCTGGATTTTGCTTGGCGTTAGGGTTGCAGGGATCCGCACTGGTCCTCGCAAGGTGTTCGCATCGCGAGGCTCCGAGACGCTGGCCGTCATTCCCCAGCCGAGGCCTGGCCCCATCTCGGGAGGTGCTGGAGTCGAGTTCTTGCAGCCAGCCCCAGCCAGGGCGAGGGAGGGTCTGCAGGCTGCGGTGTCTTGGGAGGAAGTGGGAATGGTGGGGGTGTTTCCCTGCCGCCGACTGCATCCCACAACCCCCACCAAAGAAGGACGTCCGAACTCACCCCTTCCCGGTCCCTTACGTAGCCGGTGGACTGTGCACAGGCATCCCGAGGCACCCTCCCCGGTCCTTTGCATAGAAAGGTCTGGTGACACCGGAGCGTCCAACTAGAGACCGCTGCCGGAGGGTGCCTCAGCATCCCGGGTCCCCCAAAAGCCCTCCGACGAGTGGCACTTGTACAAAGGCAGCAAATTCAAATCATATAAGCAATGTAGGAAGTAACACATTATTCCCAGTACTGCTTCCCGTTCCCAGCTCTTACCTGTAGGAGGCAACCACAATCCGGAATGTTATATTGGTAATTTTCTTGCTTTACTTTGTAGCTTTGGCACATAGATGTGTATCTCTAGTAATATATTGTTTATTGTTATTGCCTTTTAACCTTTATAAAAGTGAAATAAAATTATGTGCAATGGCTAGCAGTTACTGCACAGATAACCATCAGGCATTTTAACTTTGCTGGCCTGGTGGCATTAAATGCCTTCTCACCACCTGATTACTGAGAAGTTGTGTATCTTATATTTTTTTGACCATTTCTCATTCTTCTGTGGATGCTGTTTTTAAGAAAGACTCCACCCTTTCCCAATTGATACGCACATAACACCAGCTTTGAGATAATGAAGTTACCCACATATACATTGGTCCGTTTGGGGGCTATTGTATCGATGTATTTTTTATTACCTGCCCCAACACTGCTTCCTTACCATTTCTTCACAAGCCTTTATGTGTTGTAGGACATATTCCCCCTAACCATCCACTATGGATATTTTGTGAGGTTGAATAGAATTGCTTTGAATCTGTAGATTCATCGGTAGAGAATTAAGATTTTTATGATGTGGAGCCGTTCTACCCACGACCATGTTTGCCTTTTCATTCATTCAGGTTCTCTTTAGTGTTTTTCAATGAGGTTTTTTCCACTGCTCACTACAGCTTGAAGATAGCCCCATCTCATTGTGGAGAAAGCTGCTTCGTTCTGTAATCGACTGCTGTGTCTTCTGTGTGGCTGTATTGTCACTTGTTTTGCCAGGCCCCTGTCATATCTATGACCTCTTAGGATATCTGTGATCTTTTATATTTCAGCAATACTTCAGGGAATATCCTTCTGTTATTTGAACATACCTGTAAGTCTATCTAGGATAGGTTCCTTGAAGAAAGGCTATTGGACGAGAGGCCATTTGCATTCTGGGAGTGAACACTCTCTCAGAGAGACTATGTCATGAAATTGCTCTCAAGATCAACAGCAACTCCCATGGTCAAATACAATTAGGTTTTCATTCTCATCTTCTTTGCATCCTTTTAGACATCACTGCAGCCTCTACGGGCAGAAAGGTGTGATAACTTTCCTCACCCTGCATGAGGGCCACAGCCTAAACTCCAGTAATAAGACACAGATAGCAAGAGAAAAGTAATATAAATTCATTGAATTGAAGTTTTACAGTACATGGGAGGTTTCAGAAATGAAGAAAAGACCCAGAGAAGACTATTTTTCTGCTCAGATTTGATGAAGAATGAACACCATAGAGAAATGTTGGAGAATATGATCAGAGTATATTATTTGTACATCAAAAAATCTAATGAAACCCATTAAGATTACTTTCTTTCGGAGGCAGAGAAAAGAGATTTATTACCTGGCTTGGGACACACTGTGGTAAGAAGCAGAGTAAGCAACTCATCTTCAGCCATCTTCCCCCACTGTTTAAAGGGGGGGGTGGATAAAGGGGTATAAGAAAGAGTAATAGGGTGAATATGGTCAAAGTATATATTTGTATGTATGGAAAACCACAATCAAGCCCCTCAGTACAGTTAATATCCACTAATAAGAAAGAAATGTGACTGACAAAAGGGGCCTGGGATACCCAGAGTAGGCTGAGTAGGGGAAGCCCAGCAAGGCTAGCTGTTCAGAGTCCTCCTGGTCTAGCTGGGCAGTTCTCCCTCCCAGGTGTGGGGCAGGACTGCTTCTGGAATGAAGGTTGTATGTCTGTTGTCTGACAAGTTCAGGGAACTTGTTTATGACTGGCTCCCTTCACAGGTGGGGAAGGTTAGAGTAATAGTTCTGGCTTTGGAGGAGAGGGGTTGTAGTTTCTATGGCCCCCACCCCCCCAGGGGAGAGAGCAGGGCAGGAGAGCAGAGAGACTTCTTCTCGGGCTGCCTCAGACCTCCCATCTTCAGTTCTAAGTAACTCATCATGCCAGTGCACCATATTCTGGGGTGTTGTGCTCTGAGCCCCAACAACTCCTCCCAGAGTGTCTCTCCTTTTGTTTCTGTGGCTCCGCATAAACTAGCACACATTCTTCACTTTTGCCATCTGTTCCTGTCCACTTTGTCACTATTCATTTCATTAAGTGCTTAGGGGAGTACTGTCCACCAGGGGGCGCTCTTGTGTTACTTATCCAGAAAAATATTGCATCAGGTTGGGCCTGTGCCTCTGTGCATCTGGAAGCTGGTAGAGATAGGGAAACTGAGGCACGGGGAGGTTAAATGGCTCGATTAAAATCAGAAGGCATGTGAATAACGATAAAATTGCAGGTGTAGCTCCTCCCTGGGAGCCCTCCTTGGTGAGGGAACTTGGAGAGGGAAACCTGGTTTCCCCAGGTGCGAAGTCATAAAGAAGTGGACTAACCTGTCCTTGCAGCTGCCAATCCTGAGCTCCACCTGCCCCAGGCTCCCAGAACACGGGTGGCGCCGACCAGGAGCCACGAGCGCAGGCCAGAGGCCAGGAGCTGGGTCTGGCTGCCAAGTAGGCTCTCTCCACCCCCCACCCTTGGCAGCGGTAGGCCACCAATCAGAGGCTGCCTGTCGCTACCCTTAGGAGTGGAATTCAAACATTCACAAGACCAGTCTCTGCCCTTGTGGGATAGCTGGGCAGCCCGGCTCAAAATAGCTGGTTCGGCAATATGTTACAGCACAGTGGGAGAAATTGTGGTACCGCTAATGACACACTGTGTTTATCAGGAACTCTTACGGTCTCCAGCTGAGGCCATCCAGCCTTTTCCAGAGACAGCAAGAGGCAATGACATGCCCAGAGAGGAGGAAAGAATTGCTAAATAGAGGAGGACACACAGTGTGCTGTCCCCTCCACCAGGGATTACAGGAAATGTCCCTCTGTGAGTCTCTGTCCTGGTTTGAGAAATGGAAACCATTTGGGAACATCCAGGAAGCTTTGAGTGTTTGGCCCAGGCAATTGTATATAGGAGCAGCTCCTGGGGAATTCAGGGTGGGCTTGGCTTGTTAGCTCACTTGGGATCCTAAGAGGGAGGCCTTGAGGAGGGCCGTTGCTGGTTGGCTTTGACTTCTGACCCACAGCCCCAGAGTGGATGACCTCTGCGCCAGGCACTGCTGCTGCATTTGGTTGTGGTTTTATTATGTTGCTGTTGCTTGCCATGGCTCTTGCCCTGGCACAGGAAGGTCTTTAATACACCGAGAACATTCTGGTTCTGGTTACTTGGGGCACTTACAGCAGGGATGGAAGAAGGTCATGTAGTCTGCAAGGACACCCCTTGCTTGCTAGGGTCTCTGTCTTTTCCTACTTACAATTTCAAAGGAGGAGTGAAAGTCGATGACACGGGGCCTTAGGAGCCTGGCAAGCTCTCTGGTTTGGTGACACATTTTATTTCTTCTGTTGAACCCTGACTGTCTTTCTTTGGGAGCCTTCCTTGTGAGTCTTTGCCCATTTGCCTGTTGGCTTGGACTGTGGGCTATGATGGTACCCGCCCCCGCCACAAGATGCACCGAACCTCAATTCCCAATCCTTGGAATTTCCCATGCCTCTGAGCCTTCTATCTCACAAATATCTCAGGAAGCCCCAAGCTCCCTTCACTGAATTTAACATCACATTACCCCTCCCTCCAGTTTCTGTGTGAAGGAAAATGAGTAATCCGTTTTCCAATCTCTTGGGACCTTTGGGGGTTCAGGGAAGGAAGAAGATAATACTTACAATAACGATAGTTATCATGACCATTCGAGCACTCCATGCAAGAAAGAAAGTGCGGGTTCATAGTCGCTTCTCCAAAATCCCCCAAATATAAAAAGTCCCCCAAACTTAGTTTTTCCCTAAAATTTGGCCCAAACAAATTTGACAGAACAATATGACTTGAACTCTTGGGAGACCATGAATGGCTTTCATTATCCTATGGCAGAATGATCCAGTGTTCAGGGCAGGGTGCTGTCCTAACCCCCAGGACACTTGGATCTGACTCTGAACATATCTGGCTCAGCTGGTTCCAGGTCAGAGACCCTGGAGCTATCTGTTTCATTTATTTATTTTTTGTTTTTTGGTGGCACTGGAGTTTGAACTCAGGGGCTCATTCTTGCTAGCCAGGCGTTCTTACCACTTGAGCCACTCTGCAGCAATTTTTTTTTGTGTGTGTGTGATGGGTTTTTTTTGGAGATAAGGTCCCAAAAACTATTTGCCTGGGGCAAACTTAGAACTTTAATCCTCCTGATCTCTGCCTCCTGAGTAGCTAGGATGACAGGCGTGAGTCACCAGTGCCCAGCTCTGTCTGTGTTCTATAGATGAAGAAACTGAGCCCCTGGAGTTTCACTAGTGTCCCAGGCTGGGTGAGAAAAGACACAGAGGTAGGACTCAAAGCGTCCTGCTTGTATGAGCCAAATGCAGAGAACCATCCATCACTTGTGTATTGCTAGAGCTTTGCACTATATCGGACCTCTGAGTTTGCCTCTCGAAATATGTTAAAGGTAGCTGTCTTTCACTTCAGCATCGAAGCCGTCTTGAATAGGGGAAGGAGAAAGAACAGATCTTCCGACTCCTGCCTCTTTTTCTCTTTCGGGCACTGTGAACTGTGGTCTTGGTCTAGGTCTTCTGCCAAGTGAAGGCTCCTGGGTGGAACATTGAGGAGCTTCCCTGTTGTGTTTTGGGAGTTCCCTGCTCACAAGAGTTCCAAGGTTCTACTGTCTGGACACCACCTCACTGGGACCGTGTGTGATGTCACCTATCTGGCCCTTTTGCTCTGCTGTGAAGGCAGAGGGGAGGTCAGCCCATGAGCTGGGTGGGGAGCTCCCTCGTATTACTTACTGGAATGAAGAGGAGCTTATCTCTGGGTTTTCCTGTATTGATAGGCAACCAAGGATGTGAGTTTTGCCAAGCCTCAACACAAACTCGAGCAATCCTCGTGTCTACTGGCGCAGTGGGGGTGATAGCTCTAAGGGTGACAAGTTTACTTAATCTTGCTAAGTGTCCTTAAGTGTCCCTGGGAGCTGGAGGACTCAGAAGTATCTCTCCCTCTTCATAGGACTTGGCACTTGGTTTCAGGGTGTCTGGTGTGGCCATTGGGAACTCACAGGCTGCTTCTTTCACCCCCTTCTCCTCCTGGCTCGAGCCCATTCTGACTCTTCTCAGATGCTGACCTGTGCCCAGCCTTGGGGCAAAACAGTGTGCCTGGTGGGCATCATGCATGCACCCTGCTCCCCTTCTTTGCTTCTCTTAGCCCTTGCAGAAGTTGGTGTGTAGCCCAGGGGGAGAAAATTCCAAGGTAAAGAACAGCAAAGTGTGGTCCTTTTGTTTTGCCTGTAACATCTAAAACCAGCATCCCTGTTTTTATATCTCCCATCCAGATGGGCGAGAGTGGAGGAGTGGAGGTGGGAGGGAGGGAGAGAAGAGGAGGAGGAGGGAGGGAGGGAGGGAAGGAGGAGGAGGAGGGAGGGAGAGAGAGAGAGAGAGAGAGAGAGTACCTTCAAGGAGTGACAGCCAAAAAAACAACAGGTATAGCATCGAGGCCAGGCACAGGGAACCAGAGAACAGGGCTCCGGAAGAAGCAAAAATTAAGGAACACTGGTACCTCAGAGCAGTTCATGTCCCTGGCTAGATCCTTCCTCTTGGGATGGTGTGATTAGAATCCAGAACAAGCCCACTGACTCAGAGTTTGGGATAGAGAATGGAGGGGTGGCTCTGGAGAAGCCTGGGAGAAGCCATGGGAGGTGACATTTGGGAAGGGCATTGTAAAGACTGAGAAATGTCCAGAATGAGTGGTCTGATAGAGACTGAGCATTCCGCCACCCCCACTGGCCCCGCCATTGCACTCCCAGGATTCTCTGGAGGGTGGAAACCTTCTGGACAGGGGCTGCTGCTTTCCCACCTTCACATCACAGCGTTCTCCAGACTCTGAACAAAGCCAAGGGCCATCTTGAGCACACATCGACACGTGCATGCAAACACCCAACCTGGCATTCTGTTACAGAGGGCTCCAGGATTCACCCAAACCTGGCTGTGGTCCCTGGACCCCAGGTGGAGTCCCTCCGGTGCCATGTCTCAAGTCAGCCACAGTTTGGAAGGAGGGCTGGCCATAGTGGATGCCTGAGTTCCTTAAAGCCCATCTCCTGCCACCAAGTAACTTGGGGTTCTCAGTCTTTCTGGGCACCCCCACCCTGTGTGGGGCATCCTCACCCTGGGCTCCCAGACACCCCCACCTCTGGATGGGCCTCCAGAGACGCACAAGTGACCACCCCCACCTCCTGGCCTGAGCTGGCTCCCTAGGATGGCCAGAAGCAGGGAGGGCAGCGGAGGGCCAGCTGCCGGGCACACACACAGTTAATCCTCAGCGGCTGCTGTTTGGATAAAATGCGCTGGGAGCGTTCTAGGCTCCTCGGCAGCGCACATCTGGCTGGGGTTTGCTCTTTACGTGGTGTTTGTCCCGCTTTCTTCCTCCCTTCCCTTACTTTTGAGAAACCACGTTTCCGCTTCTGGCCAAAGAGACCTTGGAGCTAGCTGGGGAGATAAAGGTGCCGGGAAGGGAACACTGCTGCTTGCACCTCCCCCCCCATACACTTTAAGACTTTTTCTCGTGGGACTTTATCCCTCCTGCTCTCCTCCTTGGACAAGACTGTGCTTCCGTGCCGACCTGGCTGGGAGGAGGCTCAGCTGCTGGGAGATGCCCTAAGAGAAGGCACCCTGAGAGCCTGAGAGCCCCGAGAGAGGTGCAGAGGACTCCGCTGAGCCAGCTCTGCAGGAGAGAGGTAGGTGGCCCAGCCAGTGGGACGGGAATCAGGACCAGTGCTGCCCGGGTCTGTCTTCATGACTTCAGCTGGTTGCCTGGCAGGGCTGAGCAGGCACCTTCTCCAGTGGACAGTGAGAGGTGGGAGGGGCTGTGTTGGCAGTTGTGGCAAAGGGACAGAGAGATAACAGAAGTTTCAGGGACAATCCTGTGCCCATCCTTGCTGCTTCCCAGGCGCAGATGCTGTTCTACAGAGGTTAGTTCTCTGTCTCCTTCTGACTCTGTGAGAGGTATGCTTATCTGCAGCCAGGTTGTCAGGACTAAGTGTACCTTCCCCCACTTCTTCGTGTGTGGGGGTGGGGGGGAGGTTATCTTGTTTCACTCTTCTGTGGAAGAAAAAAGAATGTAGCCGTGCCCACCTCTGTACCTGGGAGTTCCCTACCCCTGCCACGTCACTTGGGCCATCTGAGATCCAGGTTTGCCCTGGTCCCCTGTCTGTCTGCGGTCAAGTTGAGCCTTGGCACCAGTGGGAAATGTGAACTTTGGTCCCATCATCTGACAGCCTTAGTGTTTCTAGAGGGCATCCAGATTGGGCAGGAAAAAACAGTGTCCCTTCCCTGGGGACTCTCCTGGAAAGTGAAGTTGCCTGTGCAGCTGAAAGTTGCCCTGGTTTGGGGCTGCAGTGCCTGAGTCTGAGGACAGCACATGTCCCCTCCCTCTAGAGCCTCCTCAGGTCTAGGTGTGGTCTCTGCCTGCTGACCCCTGGGCCACCAGGCTGCTCCCAGCCCTTCTCTGTGGCCCTCCTTGAGCTTTAGTTACTCTTGCTGTGGCCCTGTTTCTGCCTCTTCCTCCTCACCTAGCTTCTAGGGATGGAGGCACAGGACACACTTTTCCAAGCTTTGAAAACAAGAAAAGTCTTGAGAAACAACTTCCTGGATCCCCGGGGAGTGTGTGACGTCCTTAGAGACTGTCTGGGCTCTGCTTTTTATAGTGCAAAAAGCACACACTCCCAGCAGGCTGTGCAGACCACATGCACTGCCTCAACAGACACACTTGACTATGGTGTGTGCTGCAGGGGGAGGTGTGTTCCCCACCTCAGTGTCCCTGCTAACTGGACAGGAGGGAACACAAAGGTGGGAGGCAGACAGCTGAGAAAAAGGGGGCTGCCCCGCTGTTCCTCTTAGAGCTGTAGAGCCGGAGAACTTAGAGATCACCCAGTGACAGCAGTGACAAGAAGAATGGCAGCTGCCACCTTGTCAAGGGGACTCTTACCCTTGGAAAGCTTGGAGGGGCTCAAAACTTGTCCGAGGTCCTATAGGCAGTGATTGGAGGATCCGGACCCTAATCTGTGTCTTCACCCCAAGTCTATGTTGGGTAGACTTCACCCATGCTGGGGACACAGAGCACACTACTGCAATCTGAGCATCTCAGGTTTCCTGTCTCAGCTGCCAACTGAGAAGAACTGGGCAGAAGGACAGCAGGTCTCCTTTCCTGGGGACTCTGGCCTTTTCATCCCTCTCCTTCTGCCACCTTGAGTCCCCAGTGATGCCAGGGAGGGTGCTCCCAGGGAGCGGCAGTTCTGGAAAAGACATGTGGCCCAGGAAGGCTGTGCTGTTCCCGGGACAACCTCCCTCTTCAGGGTGACCAGCACGGCATACATGCTCCTTTCTGTTGTTCTTCCTGGTGCCTCCCCACCAGCCGTAATTAGCCTGACTCATAAACCAAATATTCTGGCATTGAACTTCACCCTTCAAAACAAAGATGAAAGGAATTTCGTAGAAACAGTCTTGCAGCAGGGTATCCTCACCGGACACCAGCGTCCCATGTGTATTTTGTCCTTAGGGATCAGGTCCTTCAGTTGGTCCCACTTCCTGAAGCCGGGAGGTGGGGTGGGAGCTACAGGGCTTAGGGGGAGGGGTGGGTGACACTGTGAGGGCAGAAGGGCAGGAAAAAGATGTTCTGTGCCAGTGCCCGGCTTCTGACTGCCCAAGGCTGACTCTTCCTGACAATCTACCCTCCCTGGAGAGAAAGGGCCATTTGGGAGCTGCCAGAGACATTTAGGCTGGGTGGTGGCTCCCTGTTTTGTCCTTTGTTGTTGTTGTCATTTTGACAGGACTGGGGTTTGAACTGACGGCTTCCCACTTGTAAAGCAGGCACTCTGTTGCTTGAGCCACACCTCCAGTCCCTTTTGCTCTGGTTATTTTGGACATGGGATCACAAGAACTATGTACCCAGGTTGGCCTTGAACCATGATCTTCCCCATCTCAGCCTCCCAAGTAGCTAGGATTACAGGCACCAGGCACCAACGCCTGGCTTCCCTGGGTTTCTGTCTTGGTGATCAAACATCATGTGGACTGAGTGCTGTTACTTGTTCCTGTTGTACTCACTGAAGTCTGCCTCTGCTAAAGTCAAGCAACACAGGACAGCTCACTGGACAGGACCCTGCTACCTCCCTGGCCCTTTCAGGCGGTACAAGAAATGTTCTGTCTGTTCCTGAGAGCAGCTTGTCAAAGGAGCATGAACTCCACAAAGTGCTTTCTTTCATGCTCTGGGAGCAGCCCAAGGAACCAGTGTCACATCCGAGCCTCAGGGCCCTGCTCCAGGTCCTTGTCCTGGCAGCATCAGTCTTGAGCTTAATCACGGATGGACGTGTAGACTTGCAGAGTCAGCTGCCCTTTTCCTCCTCCCCAAGCTCCAGAGGGAAATGCTGAATCCTTGCTGGGAGCCTGTTCCAGGGGCTGGGGCAGGCGGTGTGAGCAGGGTGGGTGGGGCGTCTGGATCTCTGGGACCTGGTTAAGTTGCAGTTGCAAGGAGACTGCTGCTCAGCATCTTTGCACCTCAAACTGCCCCTTCCTGCCCACACTCCACTTCCAGAACTGCAGGGGTACCAGAGGCCTCCCTCACTGTCCACCTTTGAAGTGACTGCAGACCTGCAGGCCCCACCCTGGGCACCCCTCCCTGCCTAGGACTGCTGCTGGGACGTCCAGGCCTGACTGGGCCTCAGTGTCTGACCATCTTCCTGGCCCCTGTAAGAATTTTCCTTGAAATGAGACAGTTGAGCGGGAGACCGCAGGCAAGGAGGCAGGAACCCAGGCAAGGACAGGAAAAGAGCCAGGCGAGGCGGGGCATGGGAAATCCAAGTTCCTGGTGCCTGGGGTTGGGTCAGACATGCTCTTGACCACTACTAAAGCCACATGTGGCAGAAAGCAAGCTCCACGCTCTGGGCCTGCACTGTCCCCATCCCCACCCCCCACCTCCCACCCCCAAGTGGGGCATCTGGTTACCAGCCGCCTGCTACCCTGGGGACCAGGAAAGCAGAGGCCCTCCTTGGGGGAGCTGCCAGCCCCGGTACAGGCCAGAAGCCAGGCCCGGTCTGCAACTCTGCCCTGAAACTTCTGAGCTGGTCCTCAGAGCACGGGGCTGGCATGTTGGGGTCTAGTGGGAGATGGGAGGAACTGAGGGTTTGTGGGACCACAGGGCTCCTGGCCTTCTGACATTCACCCTCCACCCCCAGGACCCCAAGAAGCTCCATCTGTGAGGATCAGATCCAGGTTCTGTAAGTCCTCCTTGGTCAGTGAAAGTACTAGATTGAGGTGAGCCCACCCCTCACCTTACCATTCTGTCCTCCATTCCTACCTGTTGGGGTCTCCGGTGTACCCACTTATGACTGACCCCAGACAGCCTCCTCAGGAATGGGCGGGCAGAGCACACACACAGCCCCTCTCCTCCCGCCAGCATCCATTCTGCACAGCCGGGGTGTGCACTCAGATCCCTTTGCAATCTAGCTCCCAGGCCAGCTTCTACCCATGGGGGCTTGGGGACAGACAGAAACCATCTGCATCCTGCACAGCACGGCCCCCACTTCTTCAGAGCTTAACAGTGTGTAGACCTCCCTCCACTCTGCAAAGCCCCTCACATTTGAAGGTATATGGGGGGCTGTTTTGGTGACTCTGTGCCTGGACCCAAAAGGACTTAAACTCCAGTGGCGTGTGTTAAGGTGCTGGGAGGCTGGCACCATGGACATCGTAGCACATTACACCAACACTGAAGATAGTTGTGGGTTCCCCAGCACCCTGCATGGAGCCTGGCGGGCAGTAGGAACTCTGTAATCCTCTGTTGCACAAAAGGGTGGATATTCCCCCCAAGCTGCTATTCCAGCTATAACTACGCACGCTAATTGGGTGGGTGCCCCACACCTGAGCCCGGTGTGTCTAGGAGCTGTCCAGGGAAGAGCTGTGTATTCGTATCCTACATGTCTGGGAATCCAGACCACTGCCCAGAACACTGTCCTGGGCACTCAGTGAACGTTTGTTGAATGAATGAGTAGGAGAAGGTGAAGCTTCAGTGCCAGCCAATTTATACTCCTCACAGTTCCATTGGAGCCATGAACTTGCCACAGCCTCCCCCCTCCCATCCACTTTTCTATGCATAGAGTCGAGTTCCCTGGAATAAACCAAATGCTCACTTAGTCCCCAGGGTGGGGCTTATTTGTCATTTTCTAAGTGGAAAAAATGTGTACTCGCTGTGAAAAAATTATGACACTGTTATGGGGAAAAACCCTAGAGAAGCCAAAAGAAAATGTTAAACAGCGTGTTCTCTTTACCCATGATAACTGCCATCAGCACCAGGTGGGTAGTCTTCAATTCTGCCTTGCATGTGGGAATCTATGGGTGCACGTTTTCAACCTGCTTTTCTCTTCTCACAGTTTTATGAGCATCTTTCTGTGAGAAAAAAAATACTCACGTGTTTACAAAGGACCCTAATTGATGCTGCTGGCTGAATCTGGTCCTTTCCTTCCTCTTCCCTTCCTCTGCCTTTAGATAGCATCTGTGTTTCCTGATCTAGCACAATCCCCACCTCTCCCTACCACTGAGTTTGCTTTTTGTATGGGGACTTTGTCCTACCATCTTCTAGAGGTCAGCCTGCTTTGGTTTTGTTTTTTTTTTTTCGGTGGGAGTGGGGTTTGAACTCAGGGCTTCCTGCTTGCAAAGCAGGTGCTCTACCTGAGCCACACCTCCAGTC